GTTTTATTTTAAACAAGGCAGTTGATACATATTTCCAACTTATGAAATTTGTATTCACTAATTAGGCTTTTAAACATTTACCTCTATATTTCATTATTTTCTTTTATCTGATACATAACAAACAATGTTGTTCAAAATAGGGAATGTTTTAACGTTGCCGCTGGACACGTTTCGTATTTTTTGTAAAGTGCCGCTGTTCTTAAAGAGGACTCTAAAAATAAGGTTTAAAAAAGGTGAAATATAAAGCACGGACGTTAAGTTTAATTTGATTCGCTAAAAGACAAATTACAGTATACTAGTTAATTTATTGTAAATGAAACAAGTTCCTTTATTCTACATTATAACCATTAAAAAACATATTGCGTAACGATATATGTATTACTATGCATTTGTTTGTAGAAATAATATAACACCATTTGGCCAACAAACATTACTTTGTGAAATTGCAGTTTCATTTAAATCATTGTTTTATATAAATAATTTAATTCACGTCAGTAAGGTCGAATATGTTAATGAAATGACATGACAAAGAAAGAGAAGGTATGAAATAGGCCTAATAAAGAAAACTTACTACCAACAATATTACTGAATCTCTCGCAAGAGCAATTGAGACAAATCCTTAGATAAGCTTTGTACGCTCAGCTTTTCAACTAATGGGTTATTTAATGGTTTTAAGTTTAACTAAACAATTTCAAAATTTTCGAAAGGAAACGTGCGAAAAAATCAAACAGGTGTTTTTCTGATTATTGATTTATGATTCCCTACAGAAATATTTTTTCTTATTTAAATTCTTTTGCGATTTATACTTTAAAAATATGTTAATTTTCTTAACTCTGTAGCCTTGCAAAAATTCTATTTTTTTATATTTCATCTATCTTATCTTCTTTATTTTGTTTTAAACAATTCTGATGATTATGAATAACAACTAATGCTATTCATATCGGCTTAAATGCAATGACATCAAATAAAAAAAATGCTTTAATACTATGTATAAGCTCCTTTGAATCATCAATCACATTTTTATATCTATATAGACAAGCCGAGAGAAAGCTAGGTCCGGGTCCTTTCAACAAGAAGCGGAAATAAATTCCACATTTTTAATATACCTTAAAAAGCCAAATAGAATATTATAAAACCATTATTCACACATGTTCATCACATCAACTTTAAATATTTTTCACTACAGCAGTTTTATAAAACTCATTGTACATAATTAAATAGTTGAAATCTCTTGAATTTAAATATTAATATTGTCTATTTCTTAATGAAGAATATCTTTACCGAATATTTCATATGTTTTTCAATTTTTAAAATATTTAGATTTGTTTATTGATGAAATTTTATGGCAGAACGATTGGCTTATTTCTATTTTTGTTTTTGGATACTTATTTATTTTATTACTGTATTTATTAAATCTATCATAATTTTCATAATGCTTATATTTTCTCTCTTTTATCAGTTTATTCTATTAATGAAATTGAAGATAAAAAATATATAAAAAGAAAATCAATGCTGAATCCGCTCGAATTTAGCAAACGGTATTCTACATTGTAAATTTTTCGCATAAAACTGTTGCTCTGAAAATCGTTGTCTAAACTCAGCAAATTGTTTTAACATCCTTGTTAAATTTAAATTCTCTAGTAATTTTTTATACATTTTGTATAATTTTATTTAAACCTAACGCAACATACTTGTATCGCTATGTACATATATTGTTATCTGTAAACGTAGGTACCGATAATAGTAGGTTCTTATTATTGAATACTTTTTCTACTTAGAAATAGCTTATGAATAATTTAAAACAACAAGCATTCGTGTTTATTTGAAACTCGGGTCTTGTATTGAAAAAATACATTTCTTGCATTTTGCATCGAATATAAAGCGACAAGTGTAAGTTTCACACGGTATTTTAATTTATTATGATTATAAACCCTTCTTAAAAAAATCAAAACTGAAATATAAATATAATCCTATGAATTCATAAAGTTTTCATATGAAGACTTACTTATCTTTCTATATTTTTACTAAGTTTACTGTACAATAATATATATATATATATATATATATATATATATATATATATATATATATATATATATATATATATATATATATATATATGTGTGTACATGTATATTAACAAGAGCAGTTAGAAGTACAAATTACTTAGTACTACTAGATGCTACTATTATGACGCCATATAGTTAGTTTATAAAATCAACATATAATCTTATGATTCTGCCCACTTCACTAGTAAAGGCTGATGGCAACAACATGTGATGGCTTAAGGCTATTGCGGTGTTTAGCTTATGAAGCGATAGTTCCCCATGTTGTTATTATCTTTGTTTTGTTATGAGCAATGTCAGTGAAAACAAGAGATATAAATGAAAAGTTTACATATACATATTAAGGAAGCTATAAATATACATAATAAACTGTAAAAATCGTTTTTCAGGTTTTGTGCCTGAAACGAAAATAAATTTATCTCATTTATTATTTCCTGATATTGAATAAATAAATATTAAACTCTGAAATAGATTCTCTATTTTAATTTATTGCAGAGAGATAAGATTAATTTCTTATTATATAGTATAATGTTTTTGAATGCGAATCGAATAGAATTGGATAACATTTCTGATTATAAGTTATCGAGATCAAGGGAAGGCAAGATTAAAGAATCTTTAAATAATTATAATTAAACTAAAAGGAGCACTTAAAAATTTATAACCATTTTGTTAATAACACTTTACTTGTATTGTCTTAGCTTCATTTAATGTAAAAAAAATATATAATATACTATGTTTAAACATGAAAGAAGTTTGCAATGATGTGTGAAGAAATTAGTTGAAAAATTTCATAGATTTTCATAGTTACAAATGTATATATACATATTTAAATTAGCCATTTAGTTAACCGAAGAGTACACCGAAGAGTACATAAAGCTTATTAAAAATATGCTTTGGTGTTTTAAATAAGTAATTTATTGATGTGTTAATTACACGGCGCATAAAATGCATGCTTTTGGATGTTAAAACTTCCAATATATGTAATACATCCGATTATAGTAAAATATGTACTTTATTTGTTAATTAATTCAAATTCTTATCCGACCACTTTTTTAATGTTTTTACGTTAAATATATTTTTTAGTATTAATTCGATTTATCTTGTTATTGCAAATTTTGAAAATCATATTTTCGAAAATATTTTTTTTAATGTTTGTATTTAGATTCATTAAATTTGTTTCTTACAACACCCACGTCAACTTGTATTTAGTACATTTAAAAGAAATTAGAAGTAAATAACTTATAACAATGTAATAAAATTGACTTAACTTCTGCAGTTAATGTAGAAAAATAAAAATAGTCATGTGAGGCTTAGCACTATGTATGTCAAAGCCTATTAAGAAATATAAAACGTACAAATAACGGTTGCCTTCCAAGATCTTTTACCTCACAGTAAAAGAAATTAATATACTGAAAATTGCTACAAAAAACTTCTCAATTATTCAAGGCAGGATTCAAGTAATTTACTGAAAGAAAATTAGAAAGAAGCGAACTTATCTCATCCTCCATTGGAGCGCTTCAGCTCGATCTAAATAATAAAAAATAAAAGGTTTATAAGAGCTATACGAAAGAATATTTGAAATGAGGTGTCTACTTAACTTTTAGTTCTTTTGAAAAATATATATTTAATATAAGGGAATGTTTTTTGTGTATATAAAAGTCGAGAATACGTAAACAACGTACATACTATGTACGTATGTTAAATACTGAAATTAGTATCTATTACAATCTATGAACATGAAAAAGTACTTATTACAAAAGTTTACATAACGAAGTATTATTATTAGGAAAATAGATATATATGTATTTATTCATAAAATATAGTGAAAACAAAAAAAATGCAATATACGTATAAGAATTTGCTCAAGAAGAACGTTATCTAGTCGTAATTTCATGTTCATGGTTCATTCAATAGATCCAAAGGAAGTAAATGGCTTATAATAAAAATTTTACTAAATTGGCTTCCATATTTTTCGCCTGACCGAAAACCAAAGCCATGATTTGATTCATTCGACATTAAATGTGAGTTATTTTCCACATACCAGCGACATCGTGTCACTTTTTTAATTTATATTTTACAGGTTTAAGTTACGTATTAAAGTAACAATTGACTAAGAAAGTACATAGCTTTAGGTAACAATCATTTTTTATATAATTTATATCAAAGGTACTGTTTCCTTTGCCTAGTCAAATTGTGGTCTTTAACTCGATGGGAATCCCGGAATACACAACATACATTATAAGTTACATTACCGTATCGTTCAGTCAGTTTATGAAGCATACTGACTTAGATTAAATATTATTAATTGTCTAACACTGATAAATTATTTTTTTTCATTTCATTGAGGATCTATTTAAGTAGTCGAATATGTTAAGTACTAAACTTAAATCAAGCGACACAAAATTTCACCATGATTTGTGTCTACGAGAAGGGGAAATAGTTTAGAGAGATTAAAATATGTGTATAATAGACATTAATTTTTCATTTATGTTTGTATTCTATTATAGGTTTGTAATTATAAAAAGTTTAAAGTGATAATTCATTTGTGAGCACCTTTACTAATTTTATAATAATTTAAATATTTGTTGAGACAAATCAGTACAACTAAATAAGGAAGTCAGTCTAACAAGGGTTGTGGAAAAGATTTTCGGTGGGAATCATAATATATAATGTAGTTTTCTTTAATTTGTGATGTTCATCTGTTATTGATGTAAATTGGATAAAGCCTGCAGCTAGGTAATAATTAACTATTCGAATGGTAATTGCTTATGAGCGTGCGTATTACGTAACAAATGATTATGCAACCTAGTGATCATTATTTGCAAGAATAATAGACAAGTTATTAGCTCATATATAATTAAAAAATAAACCAATTTATTATTTATGAAAAAAAGTTTTATGGAATAAAAAATATAAACTTTAGAAATTTAAACATCACTTGCTTGCTTTTAGTTTGATATATTGGCTGTTGTAATCAATGTCTTCTTTTTTGTCGCAACAGTTCTTACAGCATACCAAATTGGTGCCACTTTTACTGAAAGAAAGAATTCAGCAGCGTTAATATTATCATAACTGAAAGTATACTAAAAATCAAATTTAAATACAATGACTAAAATTCAAATACTCACGGAATATTCTCTGATATCCAAGAACAGAAACAAGAAATTTTTATTCCAATAGCGACTCTCTCTCCTTCAAAATCTACTCCAGCAATTGTCACTGCAAGTAAATGGCCGCGACGCATGGCTGGTGCTCCAGAGTTCGCCTTTTAAAAACAAACTTTATTAAAAAATACTAAAAACTTCGTAACGATTATAATTTCGAAAAAAATAATAATTTTTTTTTAGATTGAATGTCAATTTATCAAAATAGTAATCATTTAAATATTTTTAGCCTATTAATTATTTCAAGTCTAATAAAATTGACAGTATAGTGACTAGTAATTAAAATTTTTAGCTACAAAGTTAGAAAAGGTGAAAGAAACATATTTTAAAACAATTTGTTTGTACTAACTTTTTCTAATATACTTATTTTCTTTAAGTCTAATTCAACTCATCAACAATTCAATTAAAACGATGATTAAAATAATAATAATTTTCTTCCCGTCAACTCAACTAACGTATAACTGAGTCGTATGCAAATAGGAAATAAAAATTATGTACAAAATAAATTACTAACCTCAGTAATAAAGTGATCCTCACTAGAGTAGCACAGGACTTCATTGAAATTTTCTGGAATTATAGATTCATTATGACCTTGACATTATTTATTACTTTTTATAAGCTTCAACCCATTGAAGTGAAATTTTCTATTCAATTTTGATTTGGATAATATTAATGAAATCGTCATTAATAAGGTTTGGAACCCAACACACATATTGAATTTATGATACAGCTATTTTTAGTACTCTTCTAAAGTGCGTTTACTAGGTATGACACGAAAGTGTCCACCAACAGCTGTAAAGTCTTCACTAAGTTAACATTTAAGTAATTAAATCAATCACACAAATCTATACAATTTACTTGTCATTGCAAACAAGAAAATCTTGCAACAGGATTTTATATTTGATAAATTATATAATGACATTAGGATTAAAGTTAAAAGTAAAAAAGAGTTTTTGTTTCAAAAATTGCAATATATTGTGACGTCATTTAGCGTGCTTACTGACCGAGAATTGCAATTGTCATAAAATTGGCAAAGACAAGTGCAATAACATTATTTCAATTTTGTATTCTTTGTAAAAAACACATAAAATATCTTAAATTTCATATAGAAGTGACATCTATATTAACACATTAACAACAAAACGAACTTACTTATTTCATAGGATGAAGGAATGGCCTTTTCAATTACTTTTTTACATGTTTGTGTGTTGACGAATCCAAAGACTTCAGCAGTTAGTTTGTTTTGCTAAAATAAATTACATTTAGTTAAAATTGATATACGAATAAAATGAGGACGTACAATCCATTGCAGTAGTAAATTCATTCGGGGAATATTTTTCTACTGATCATCCTGTCTTCACCCTTATCCTTCGACACATCGTATATCCATTTGTTTTTAGCCATCCTTTACCCTTCATTCATCAATATTCATGTCCTATACTTTTAACACATTCAGTTTGTTCCACTTATTCGACCTTTTTATTCATGGTATTAAGACAGTTTTATCGTAGGGTTTTTAAGATCCCCAAAAGATATCAATTAAAAATTGCTAACTTGGTTAGTTTATACAGAAAAACAATAAAAGACGCTTTACTTGATCCCCTATTTTCCTTCTCCAACCATTTTTATGGTACGGCATAACACCATACGGTTTCTTTGTATATCTGTTCCTTTGAGTTATACGCTCTTTTATAGAAACTCTTTCAAAATTATCCTAAAAATACAACATATATCAACAAAACATTATTTTTAGACTGTACTCATGTAAGATATAAATAATATAAAAATTATTACAATTTTTTTTAACCTTACTTGAAAATATTGACTCACTTACCTTCTGCCTTTCCCAGCTTAATTGTTCAGTCTTACTGTTAAAGTGTTTCACGTTACTGTGACTGTCCCTTATATTTTGGTGACGATATCTCTGTTCAAAATACATATACTGACTTAAGTGTATAATAAAAAGAAAATTAGTTGTAATTGATAATACATATATATTTTTACAGAACGTGCTTCCAACGACGACTCCTTAGGATTATACTTGATTTGATCTCCATCATCCATCGTGTTTTGTCTTAATTTCGCTTTAATTCGTTTTCGACGCTGCCTCAGTCTTTTTTTCTTATCAAGAAATATGTTGATAGTTGAAAGAGTCCGTAATCCAGTAGTCTGAAATGTTCAGATACGATATGAAAAAAATAAATGTTTTTTCCCTTTTTGAATTGTCTACGTATTGACTTATATTTCGATATAAGTACTGTAAGGTTGTTTAGAAAGCTAACAATCTTGAACAATCTTAAATAAAATCTAGTTAATAGTAATGAATGCTTAATGGAAAATTTCTTAAATTAAATAATCATAAAATTATTTTGTTATTATGACTTATACAATATTTTGTATGGTAATACTGTGTAATTTTGTATTTTGTCTCTCAATATCTTTCCAACTGCATCCTTTTTTATAAGATTACAATTTCTTTAAATAGGTTAACCCTTTATTTATATATGTATGTTATCTTTATATGCACACATAGGATAATACAAAATTTTTCCTTCAAGTAAAAAAAAAGAAATATATATATATAAAACTTACTACTTCTGCTTCGTTTGAATAATCAAACGTCAGTAATGAGGTTACTTTTGCTATGTCATCATAATCCGTATTGTTTTCCTGCGAAATCAAAAGATAGGTAGTATTTAATTTTTTATAGTTTTTATAAACAAATATTTCTAAAAGCTAAGTATTAATATTATTCTTATCCTTTTTGTGAATATGGAAGAAAAAATTGCATATAAGTTTTTAATGTAAAATATATCTTATATTTTGAGTGAATAATAACGTTTTATATTTGACCTGACAATAAACAGCGTTACAATCCCTACTAATATTATAAATGCGAAAGTAACTCTGTCTGTCTGTCTGTCTGTCTGTCTGTCTGCTACGCTTTCACGCCTAAACCACTGAACTGATTTTAATGAAATTCTGAAATTCGGTACAGAGATAGAGTTGACCTTGAGAAAGAACATAGGATAGTTTTTATCCCAGACTTTTGAAAGGTTCTCTTGGAAACGCGATATAACCGAACTCCACGCGGCGAAGCTGCGGGCGGAAAGCTAGTTAAAAATAAACAAAATAATCACATAAAAATTTTTAGTCCTCATTTTCTCAAGACTTTATTGAATGGGGGTAGTATGTAGCCAACCAGAATTTTTAACATTATTCACACGATTTGGTACCAATTAACTGTTTTCGTACAGGCTATGAATGGGAAGGTACAGTAAACCACATCTGTTTGGAACAGAAAATTATTTGGTTAAGAAAGTCCTATCCGAAAGCAAAAGGTTTTATCTCTAAAGATTACAAGCAATTTCTTAACTGATAATAAAAAAATTAAAAGATTTGTAAAATCCAAAAAACTACTCAAACAGAGGGACACAGAAATTACAAATTATGCTAATTGCTAATTAATAGACTGAATAATGTTATAAGTTTTAAAGAGGCGTCCAAATTTGTCAACTTCTTTACTGTTATACAATTATCCGTTTTCAGGGGTGACATGTTAGTTATTAAGGAGCGAGTGAAGCAAATTTTTTGTGAAGGCTATCAAACTATCCCACAAGTTTGTTAAGATTTCATTCTTAACAGGGTCGCTAGGTCTCTTAACAACATCACATGGAAATAACTAAAAATGATCTCCAGAGGAAGGCTCAGTGCCTTATCATAACGCTCGATCCACTCAACCTTGATTAGAAACGAATTTTCCGGGCTATAGATTGGCCGTTATCTGTTTATGATCATAATCAACTCGTTTATGATTTATGGCCAATTTCAGAGAGTAAGGCTACTTAATATAATTTGAATCCCCTGAAATAGTCCTTTTGATTGGTAATGAAGAATTTTCTTATAACAATATTGTCGTGCCAGTGGCAACTGGCTTTACTATTTAAGTTTCTAAGCCTTCTACAATTGCGAATCATGAATTTAAATGTTGTTGAAGCTTTCGCATTACCGGTTTCCGCTATTTTCCGATCAGTGTTGGTTTTTTGGGATGCCCTATCTGGTTTGCAAGACAAGACTGTGAAAAATTCCTAGTGTACAGGGATATATTCCACACACGGATCGCGGCATACATTCACAGGAGAAAATAAATGTTTAACTTTACGTGCCAATGTAGTCGGCTTAAGATCTGTATTGATGCCAATGGAGACCATAGTAAATAAACTTAATATATTTTTAAAGTTTGAAGAATTTTTGTACTAAATTAACAAACTTTTTTAGTAATAGTAACAAGTCTTGTGTACGATTCATCGTACAAATTTTTTAATTATATATTTGCATATACATACATAAAATAAAAAGAAAGAAATAAAATTTGTATGCCATTACTTACCAAATGATCAGGCTTGTTGTTATTCCATATATTTTCCTTTTTCTGCGTTAAAGAGGATGTTACCTTTTTCGAAAAAAAAAAGAGAACTGAAGTTTTTCAATAAGGAAATGTATCATATAGCAAAATAGTAGTATGATTTTGGCTTTTAATATAAATACATTTAACAAAAAACAATTATGTAACTGATATAATTTTAATCATTCACCCAATTATTTGAGCTTAAATTTTTTTATACCATAATTTTGTAATTAACTTACGTCATTCAACTTGTAAGGATTCCAGCTAAAAACTACTACATTCGACAGAACTGGTGTATTTGTCTTTTCGTTCGCCAAAGGTACAATACGTCCGGGTTTATCGGACATCATGCCTGCGAATGTATGTATAAGAGCCAAGTCAGCGGTCCAAAAGCTATAATTTGGATGGATTATAACTCTCTCAATGGGCAGGTATTGTTCATATCCTGCTTCGAACATTTTTTTGGTCCCTAGGACTACAAACGATGCAGTCAGCTCAGCTTGTACATGAATTTCATCCAGTATTTTTCTGTCAATTATAATATTATGATACATGATATATACATACATATACGTACACTAATGTAATAAGGAACACATTAAATTTATATTAGTTTTATATATATCAGAGTATAATTTGTATTTCATTTTCTAACGCTTAAAGTAAGAACATACTTCTGCTGATTAAAATTTATAGAAATCTTTACAAGGTTTTGTATCTAATTGACTAAATTTGTAAACAGACCATGCAAGGCGAGATAATTCCTATAGAGTTTCTCAATTTTATATACATGGTACAAAATTAATAAAATTCAAGTTTTGGGAAAGTATATATATGTAACTATTAAAGATGCTACGAAGAACCTTATTACAATAACGGTGACTAATCAATGAATCAGAAGCAATAGAATATACGCAGTGTACTAACAGGCAATGGGCTGCTGTTATCACAACATTATCATGAATAATAGTTCCAGTGCATACTTTTTTCGACGAATCTGTGAACACAATACTAAAAAGATATTTATAAGTAAGGACTTACAATATATTGTACGGTCAAAACAGACTCATATAAATCCTTAAATGTTAATTAAATATTCAAAATATTAATTAAGTATCGTTTTCATACACTCATTATATTATTTTTTTATGAAATTGAATATACCTCTAAATATAATAGAACTCACTCAATTAGAACGACAAATGAATATATATCCTCTGAAATATCGTCGTATTTTTCAATCTCCTCCTCTGCAACAATTTGTTTTGATTTCGTACCAATGACAAAATCTTAGTGACGAATATCTAGTGTAAACGAATATTAATATATATAATTATTATTTCGATATATTACTAGAAGTGATTTTTAAGGGGAATAACTTAAATATTTTTTATCGAAAAGAACGGAAAGCCAAAAAAGTGGAAGTTTTGTAAATAATGCTGACGTCAAAAGTCATTTAAATTTATTGTTTTTCTGCCCTTTAAGTGTGTTCTTCTCTAAAAATATATGGCGATTAACGAAATTAACGAAAGATAAGGAAGGGCAAAACGATTACGACAGATTGGGAATCAAACGGTAAGGTAGTTTAAGGAATCCTCCATTATAATAACACTAGAATTTTTATCAAAAATTATGTAGATAAAGCAAAATGTACCGCTACCTTTTTCATTTTTACTATATACCACAAAAAATCCTATTATTACACAAACAACCACAAACCCGTTATCGGAGAAATGCATTGCAATATAAATTTCATTCTAAGTTTCAAAGAACTATAAATATAATAGCAAAGTAGTTGCGTAAATCAAAATGTTTCTCAGATACAAAATAAATACACATTATATATCATTATTTATGATCCATTTGTGGAATATAAATTAAACACATTCTTATTCTTACAATATGTATAACCACGTCTCTTTATATACATAATATATCATGTTGCTAAAATTAACTACATCATTATTTTATTATTATACAACATAGTTAAAGCTGTTATTCAGAGCGTTCAAAATGAAAATATTCGTCTCAAATTACCTCAACGAAGAAAGAATTTACAACCCTAAAGGCTTTTGACATCCAATTATTACACTCCGTGATATTTGAAAATTTTGAACAGTCACCTAACAATTTCCATATTTCATTACCTCTTTGACATGTACAAATAACCTTTAAAATGACTTAATGAAATATTTAATAACATTTAATTTGTAGTTTTCTTTACTCAACTCACGCAAATTTTGGGTTTTATTTAAACGATTAAATTAGGAATTGTTTAATTGAAATTCATGTTAGCATAATAATTTTTAATAAATATGTAATAATCTACAAGTTTCTTACATATATATCGACAAAAAAATAGTATTTTGATATTCTTTTATTACGTAACGCTATTATTACATAAAAAGCAACTTCTGTATATAATGTTGACTTATAGTTCCTGAGTAATATTAAGATATAACTCATGCTTCAATAAATCCAAAAAAGGAAGGAAAATGATAGAAGAAAATTGGCGTTCACCCAATTCGTGCCACCGGAAACCACAGCGCCGATTCGGTTTAGTGACCGCCTAATATTCGCATCAGCTAACTTTGGCGAATTAGTTTAGTTGAGCCTTTTTATTTTATTTTATTATTACAATAACACTATAGTAGCAATCATGCTGTACAAAATAATCTACGTGGTATATAGAAACTATTCAAATACCTGCATAATAAAAAGTACCCATCTCTTACGTTCACTTTTTTACTTCTTAAATTATATGTATAATGTTGAAAAAAATTCTTATCACCTATTGGTTTAAGAAATAAAAATTAGTTGGTTGTAAATAAAATCTTATATTTGATCATATTAGTGTATTATGGCTTGTGTTATGGGGAAAATCGGATTCAAACAATTTAATTCTGACAGAATGAGTTTATATTAAGATGAGTTGACATGGCCTTGCCGACGACGATAGACCTCAGTAGATCAATATGTTTTTGTTTAATGAAAAAATAATAGTTGATAAGAGTTTTTTAGCTGTCATTATATTAACTCCTAACTAAAATATATTATTATATACTTGTACACATTGCAATTAAGTAAGAATTCTCTTTGGTAAATGAGTTCCATTTACAAAATACGCCTAATACACTCTACTAATTTGGTTTAAGCACTTGACCTGCCTTACATTAGTTAAGATTAGTATTACCTAGTTTTATGTTAAAGGTGAAGTAAATGACTGACCTCGGTTAGAAAGTGTTCTTTGCTGACGTACCTAAGGACTTCATTAGGATTCTTTAAGGGTTTATAAAAAATGTTCATAAGACTTTTAACTTCAGTGCCCTTTATATTTTGTATGCGATGATTTTTTGTGAAAAACACATCCACTTTAATTAAATAACAAAGAATTAACCAAAATGTTTATGAAAATAAATGTATGCCCCGCGTGTATATTACACATATGTGGGTGTGTGTGTGTGTGAAATTATCTCTTTGAAAAGTATCATTATTATTAATCATAAATCAACATTAAACTATGATTGTTAGTTCTTACAGAGCTTTGAAAAAATATATGAGTGGTCTGTATTGGAACTACCCTAGTTACTTGACATCAAATGCCCCGCAGGACGGGGATATCCACGTCACAAGGATGCCTCAAACCCCGATGCAAAGTTATAAAACAGACACTCATTTTAGTCTAATATGATAATCCATTCTAAAATCTCTTTTATTTTATCTAAAGGTGGTATGAATGTAGTGGGATATTACAAAAAGATACAGGTCTTTTAAGCTACGTAAGCGTTTAACGCGCGTTAGATAGGAGCCCCTTAAACCTACACCTGGGTCGCATGTACCAGGCACTGTTGAAGAAGCTCCTCTCCCTGAAACGCGATGGATCCGGAACCCACAGGTATGCTAAGAGGATTCGTCTCATTTCTAAAAGACATTTTCTTTAATGCAGAGTAAAGGGTATAAAGGCCAAAGAAATAGGTGGTTCTGTTTTGAATTGCCTTTTGGTAAATGATGAGAAATCACGGTTCTAAAGTATTTGATTTTTTCAGTTTAAAATAAGTTTTTAATTTCTTTGAATCAGTAAATAGTAATTGTTATCGTCAACTTTGGAAGATCTTTTGGTGTATTAGAAATGAAAATAATCTGTGTTATTCTACATAGAATACATACGGATACATATGTTTTTTCAAATGGTAAATTAATTTTTGTGTTATTAAAAAACAAATACGCACGCATTGAAATTTATTTGTTTTTTATGTAAATTAATGCAAGTTTTCCTAACAACTGAGCAACTTACAACATTGATAAAAAAAGAAATAAAGAATGCCTGTTATAAGAAATTATACTTAATAGTCTCAATCTGTTAAACGTAAAGTAACAATATAAAAGAAACATTTTAGCTTTCATAAGCTCTCATTACAAGTGAGCTTACGAAGCAATATATATTAAAACTTCATACAAGACCGACGTTAAACAAAACTTAACTAAGTTACAACTAAGAAGAATTGTTTTCAACTTAGAACTTTGACTGCCTTTTCTTCAAGTTTCATTTTGTTGAAAGTGTTTAACTTTAGTTACATGAGTTATCACATTTTTGACATAAAATTTACTACTAGGAAAAATTGCATTCTAAGTGAAGTATGATTTTTTTTATTGCTTTTTGTCTACATATACATATTTGTGGAAATAATTTAAAACATATTAACCATGAAAAAAATTTTGCTATGAGTGTAATCAAGGTGAAAAATTTATTTCTGTAACTAATGTATTAAACTAACCCTAATAAAACGCAATAATTCTAAGGGTACAGTTGCTAGTTTCTAAAATTTTCCATTCTATTTTTCTTTTCTAAGTACTGCTTTAATAGTAACAAGAACAAAACATGAATTTAACAATTCAAATCATAAGACAATTTAAAATAGTTTTTAAAGGTGCAAAACTAAAATATTTTGTCGCAGACTTCACGAAACACACGCCTCAGCAACCTAGAATAGAAAAAGATAGATGCAAATTGGCAATCATCCATTCCATGCGAATGGAAACCGCAACAGTGTTTCACTTCAGTTGACTTCTATTCATCAATTTATTCGCTTTATAACCCAAGTATAACAGCTTAAAGTAAGCATCTTTAAGTTACCCTAAAGCAATGGTTATATATGGTTACATACATATTTATTAACAAATTTATATGAATATCTATAGTTTGATAAATTCTGTGGACAAATAAATTCTAACTAAAATAATAATATGAAAAATTCTAGAAAAGACAATTTTCATACCGCAACTGCGTGAACCTGAAGTGTTTGTTCATGCATTTTCATGTTCATGCTTAATCGTTATGAATAAACGAGCGGATATATCCTACTATATAACTGCGGATTCTATCTGAATGGCACGAAATATCCAAAAGTTTATAAAAGCAACCGTCTACATGCATGAACTAAGGCTGTTTTTCCATTAA